AGCTGGGACAGGGGATCAAACCTGCAACCCAGGTACGGGCCTTTGACTGGGAATCAAATCAGTGACCCCAAGGCTATACTCATTTTTTTATGAGAGCCCTGAGGGGACCTCTCCAAGGTCACACGGCTAAAATAAGAACAGACACACGGAAGGCAGGCAATATTCTTCAGCTCCAATCCACCCAGCTGGGTAGCCCTTGGCTTCTCCCTCTCTCTGATTTCTCACCCTTCCCTCTTCAGCGCTTACCACTCTCCCACCCACCATCTCAAGCATCCCTACCACCAAACTTGTTCGTTCTTAGAACACATTATTCATACCCTAAGTGGACAACTTAGATATCCCATGGGGAAATTACATATTTACAAGGGATCAGAGATTTAAGCTTATGGGTGCAAACCCTACTGTTGGAACTGTGGGCATGAGCTGACCAAGAAAGGAGAGATCACACCAGGAGTCCACTGCCGATACTGTTGGCCAGAGGCCAAGTCTGCTTCATTAGCTGCCTTTCCTTGTCCACACTGTCAACATCGGGGACCTTCTGCCACTCTTGCCAGGTGAGCAGGCAACCTGAGTGCAGTAGGGAAAACATTGGCTCACATCAGGAAGCTTCTGTCCTGGCAACAGCTTTGACCCAATGTGCTATGCAGCTTTAGGCAGTCCCCTGCATCTTCTGGGCCTCAGTTTCCCTCTCTCCCAGAAGAGGGAGTTAGATGACCTTTCAGATCCCTCCAGCACTGGACGTCTGCCTCTGACAGATGGGCCTGTCCTGTCCTTAGTAGGAGCTCACACTTGCAGAGCCCTCACTGTGTTTGGGCGCTGTTCTAAGAACTTCACATTTATTCCTCAATGAATGATGTCCCATTTTATGATAGAAAAAAACTGAGTCCCAGAGAGGTTAATTCACTTGCTCAAGGTTACTAGTCTGTTATAACATAATATTATCCCAAAACTTAGTGGTGTAAAACCACAACCATTTATCCTGTGGGTCAGGAATTTGGGGGAAGGCTTAGCTGAGCAGTTCTTGCTTGAATGTCTCTCATGCAGTTGCCATCAGACGTCAGCCGGAGCTGCATCAAAGTGGGACACCCCAGATCGCTTCCTCACATGCCTACTAGTTAATGCTGGCTGTCGGCTGGGAGGTCAGCAGCGCTTACTGTGGCCTCTCCAGCACAACCACCTCAGGGTAGTCAGGCTTCTTATGTGGAGGCTGGCTTTCTACAGAGTGGGTACCTGAGTGAGCCAGAAAAAAGCTGCAGGCAACTTTCTGACCCAGCTTCAGAAGTTTGCATATCACTTCTTTTGCATTCTACTGGTTTTAAGCCAGTCACCAGGGGTGACCCAGTTTAAGAGACAGGGACACAGACTTTACCTCTCAATGACAGGACAAAGAATGTGCACACATGTTTTAAAAATCACCGCAGGGACTCAGCTGAGAAGTGGAAGAGCTGCAATTTGAACCTCCAAAAGCTGGCTCATTGTTGCTCTCTCAGACATTCCTCCTGGGTCTCACAGGAGGGTTTTGGGCAGATGAGAGGCAGCCTCTGGCTTCAGTTTTCACAGGGCCCCTCTGACTACTCGGTGCAGCTAAGCTGTAGGGGTCAAGGGCAGAAGCATGAAGACCAGAGAGGAGGTTGCTGCAAGACTCCTAGTGAGATGTGATGAGGAGTTTAGCTCAGGGTGGTAATAGGGGGATGGTGGAGAGAAGTTGTCAGATTCTGGCTACATTTTGGGTGTAGAATTGATAGGAACTGATGATGGATTGAATGTGGCAGGTGAGAGAAAGAGAGGAATCAGAGATGAGTCCAAGATTTATGGCCTGAACAGTGTGAGTGGGGGGAATGGAGCTGCCAATGACCAAGACCATTGACTCATAATCATCATGCCAGGCTGCTTTCAAGCTAGGTCTGGTTCCTGGGAAGAGGGGAGGGGTCATGAGCATTTACCTGTGCCAGACACTGTGCTAGGTGCTTCACATCTTGTGGTAGACAGAACTGTAAGAATGACCCCAAAGATTCTGGCCCTGGTATAAGACCCTTCTATTTGAGTGTGGATGAAACCTATGGATATCATGAGATATCACTACAGTGATTATGTCACATTATACAACAAAGGGAAATTATCTAGGTGGATTTAATTTAATCCCAAGAGTGCTTTAAGGTAAAGTTTTCTCATGTAAGTAAGCAGAAGGGAAGTTAGAGAGAGTCAAAGGATAAGAAGTGTTTGACATCCTGATGATAACCTTGAAGATGCAGAAGACCATGAGCAAATATCAGAGAACCACTTCTAGGAGCTGAGAGTGACTCCAGCTAATGGCCAGCAGGGAAACAGGGGCCTCAGTCCTACAGCCACAAGGAACAGAATACTGCCAAAAACCTGAGTGAGCTTGGAAACGAATTCTTCTCCAGATCCTCCAGCTAAGAGCTCTGTCTGGCTGATATCTTGTGAGGCCCGAGCAAAGAACCCAGTTGAGCCTGCTCATACTTATGACAGATGGAATTGTAAACTAATAAATAGGTGTTGTTTTTAAGCCTTGTAGTTTGTCATGCAGCAATAGAAACTTGTTTTACTCACTCCTTGCAAACATCCAAAATGGAGGGTCCTGTCGCCACCGCACAGATGAGGAAACAACAGGTAGCTGAGGTAAAGGGCTTTGCCCTGGGTCACACAGGAGTGCCACAGTTGGGACTGAAACTCCGGAATCTTATCATCTCACCAGGCTGCTTCATAGAGAGGGTGTCAACCCAGCTGACAGAGGTTTTAGGCATCTAGGGCCTGACTGGATGGGGACCTCGGGTCCTGGTCAAGGCCAGGGAATGGAGTTCTAGTTTCTGTTTGATTGTGTTAATATCCGGGGCTCTGAGTGTTTGAGCCTGTGTGTGTCAGTCCCTGAAAGTGTATATGTGGGAGTGTCTGTGTGAGCTTGTGAGCTTGGTGGAGTGTGTTTCGTTGTGAGTCTGTGCATCAGAATGTATCTGTCACTGGGAGTGGCTGTGTGCGGCTGTGTCTCAGTGTGAGCATCTGTGTGCCCACTGAAGTGTGTCTGAGTGTCTCTCTCTGAGGGTCTGTGTCTAAGGGTGACTGTGAGTCTCACAGTGTCTGCCAATGTTTGTGTGCATGTGTGAATCAGTACTGAGGGAGCCATTGCTGGGGGGTGGGGGAGGGGGGCGGAGTATCTCTGTGTGTAGGTCTGAGAGTGTCATCTGAGTCTATGGGTGCCCATGTGTGTGAATTCTAGGGTATCTGTGAGTAGTGGGGGTGCATGAGAGTGCGTGTGCCCATCTGAATGTCTCTGTGGGTTTGTGTGAGATCTGAGGGTCTCACTGTGTGGCCAAGGGTGTCCATGCTTGTCGCTCTGTGTGTGTCTGCAAGTCTCTGGATGTGAGTCTGTGTGTCCATGGGTGTATCTCCCTGTGTGGATCAGTGTGAGAGTCTGAGGGTCTCTGGGTGTATCTAACTGTGTGGGTCTCTGGGTGTCTGGAGTCTGTCTGTGGCTGGTTTGGCAAGTGTCCCTAGGAGTAAGTCTGGGTGACTCTCTCAGGTGTGCGTATGAGTCTGAGGGTGGCTGTGGTGTATTTTGCAGGGTGAATGCAACAGAGTGGGTGCCTGTTGGAGCTCCTCCGCGGGTTCCTGTGTGAATCTAAGGGTGATGCGTGCGGGTCCCTAGAGTGTGTCCCGTCTGAGTGGGTCTGTGTCCCTGGGTGAGGCCTGTCTCGGAGAGGGACTGGATGCCTGCATCAGGGCCAGTCTGAGGGCAGCGTGTGGGGCTGGGGCACGGCCAAGGGACCGGGTCCCAAACAGCCCGGCACGCTCCTCCCTTCGGCACACCTGCCAGGCTGGGGAGGCGAGCAGGCCCCTCCCGCGCGCTCCCGGCTCCCACGCCCCGGCGCCTCGCGCCCCCTCC